TAATTTGTATGGAGATCATACCAAACTGAGAACCATAGAGCTATATCAAATGATTTTGAAGAAAATTTGCCTGTTTCTGTATCTCAGCCTTTCTGCTGTTAATCTTTAATGCTCAAAATCCTTACTGTATTTGGAAATTTCCAGATGACGGCTGCAATCAGGTTTACAGTATTATTGCTGTTCTATGCCCTGCTGCACATAAACCACTGGTGGCTTGTTGCTGTGAGTAAAATAAATATATATTTTTTGAAACACTTATTGTGTCAGAAATGGAACTGATATAATATTTTAGTGGCACTGTGCATGTGTGTGTGATATATACATTATATATAACAAATATATATATATATATATATATATATATATATATATATATATATATATATATATATATATATATATATATATATATATATATATATATATATATATATATATATATATATATATATATTTTTTTTTTTTTTTTTTTTTTTTTTTTTTTTTTTTTTTTTTGTATGTATGTATGTATGTATGTAATTATAATGATATTTTAGATTGCAAGATATGCAATGCAATATGGTCATGTTAAAAATTAAGAAGTATATACAATACAATAAAAGAGTAATGGTTCCATTCGTAAATATTTTCCAGCTTACAACAGCAGGGAGCTGTGCTTTCCTCATAGCTAAGACATTACTTTATACGGTAAGCATAGATCTGGCATGTATATTACATATCATACCCACTGAGAGTTTAGTGTATTAATTGTTTTGCAAATAGATGGCTCCGCAAGTGCTTAGTCACCAGTGAGCCAATTACTTGTACTGTCTGTCTCACCTTTTTAATCTTTTCCTTGATTTTTGGAAATATATTCTTTTATCTCATTGTACTTTGTAATTTCTATAGCATTGTGATCATAATAATGTCTATGATAAGAATAGTAAGAATATTGATAGCATTTGTAAAAAAAACTTTTCCCCAAAACTCAAGAAAATGTAAAATCAGGTGAGGTCATGAGGTTGGCTAATTAACTTCTTGGTGACTAAGTAAAATAATACTGCAATTAACAGTAGATATCCCCAGGCTGAAGGTTTATAGAGAAAATAGTAATAATAGGTAATTAAGAAATAAAAAATTAAAAAAAAAAAAAAAAAAAAATGGCAGACTCCAAATCATCTTTTTTTTTTTTTTTTTTTTTTTTTTTTTTTTTTTTTTTTTTCATAATTTTTATGACCCATATGCCGGGGAGGGATGGGTTTAATCTTCGACTTTTTAGAACATCACAATGACAAATGATTTATTGCCTTCGTATTGCACTGACAAAATGAAGACAGGAAGATTTGCAGCAGATGAGATGCTTTTTGATTTCCAGTACAGAGGCACTTGAACACATCTTTGTTATAGAATTAATTTCATTCTCATAATGAAAGCTCCATAGACAAAGAGAGAACATTCTTCTTTGCTAGATGCCCTATAATAGTTGCGTGCTAGAATCGTAATATTATTTCTTATCTTTAGACCCTGGAGATCCTGCAGCAGTAGTCATAATTTATTGTTTTGTTTTGCAGGCTCGGGAGGGGGGAGGGAGGCTTGGGAAGAGAGTACTTTCTCTATGCTTATGAAAATGAAAATAATGGATGACTCTAAACTTAAACATTCCTGTTTGATCATCATTGCTTGTAACACTTCATATGACAATAATGATGCAATTGATGCATCTGCCGTAGTAGGGATAGGACCATCAAGAACTTTGCAAGTTTATCTTTACTCATTTCTCCGTTTCTAAAGATTCATAAAAAAAAGGCTGTACTAATTAACCATTAGTTATTATTTTTGTGTATAATTTTCGAAAAAAAAATTATCTGCAATATTTTAAGATTAAGATGAACATTTGTATTATTAGAAAATGTTAAAATGAAATAACCGGTTTGCATGTGAATTGATATTGGTATTTACAATGTTTCTGAATGACATACTGGCTGTAAAGCTTTAGTGTGTTATTAACATATTTTCTTTTTCTCAACTTACTCCAGTGGCAAACGGAAAACAGCCGTCCATTTGAAGTGATGCTAGTCCTAATATCATTTCTTATTGCCTGGGCTGAAGCTTGGTTTATTGACTTCAGGGTTTTACCACAAGAGGCTCGTGCTCGGTCAATTCTGGAAGGTAAGGAAATTCAAACAAATTCATGATGTACTCAGTAAGAATTTAGAAGGTAAGGAGAATATATGTATTTATAAGAAAGCTGTGTTATAGTGTAAGTGCAACTTAAACATCTTTTTAATGGTATAAATAGATTTGAAATTGGTTGAGAGTATATTCATTTAGCATATACACAAGGAAAGTTTTTATTGTAGATTTTGTTTCACTTGATTTTGTGTTATCAGTTTGTGTATGTGTTTGTTACTATTATTCTGAAAGCAGCAAGTGACCATCAGCCCTAAAACTTTTGATAAAAAATAACAAGTAATTTCATGTTTCTTTATAACAGCTGCTGCAGGCAGCAGTGAACACATGGAGAATGATCCACTATTACCACAGTTGGAGCGTGTAAGGGACTACCTCAGTCATTATACTGAGACTGTTGGTGACTTCTACTCGCCCATGGAATCACCCTTAGGTAAGACTGTAAAATTAAACCCATGGCAAGTTTTGGAATAAGGTTCTGCTTTGATGGGTTTAGGATTAGATAAAGATGAATTGCAGAATGCAAGACAAATAGTCTTTCGATTGCTATGCTATAATTGGAATATCCATTAGACTACCCATTATTGTATACTAATGCTTGTAAGCTTGAATCCACTGTCATTATGTAGTCTACAAGTTCTTGTAAAAATTTACTATAAGTCATAGCTACTTATGATACTTGTAATTTCATAAAGCTAAAATATTTTTCAGGATCTGATGACGATGATGATGGTTTTACTCGTACGGATTACAGGAAATTATCTCCAGAAGTAAGCCATTTTTCAATGTTGTTGGTTAACATTGACAATATAGCCTGTTATTTTATATGGTGAACAGGTCTATGTTTGTATCCTGAGAAATTTCTTGGTCATAACATAATAAGAACTAGGGTATTAATATTCTCTTAAAGTACATATAATGGCTAACTTGAAAATTATGACACAGTTAAAGAAATGTGACTTTTTAGCTTTTTCTTTATTTGTGAACACTGTAAAACTAATTTCGTTGACAGGAAAAACAAATGCAAGCCAGTGGTTATGATGCCTTGCAAAAAGCCTGGGAGACTGTAAACTCTCCTGGCTGGAAGGTAGAAAAGGAAACTTCACATGGAGACACAGTTTCCTCCAAAGTGGGACCTAAAGGATCAAAAATATATAAACTTGTGGTAGGTATTTCATTTTCTCTACGTAGACTTTCCCAGGACAGATAATGTAGATGGTATGGAATTATTATGATTATTATTACTATTAAAGATTTTGATTAGGAAAGATTTAGCATCCTCTAATATTTACACTGTGAGTGTTTTTTTTCTGAACTTTTTAACAATAAAAAATGTTTTTTTGTATATATATAAATCTGTATATATATGTGTGTGTCTGTGTGTGTATATGCATGTGTGTGTATGTGTGTATATATATATATATATATATATATATATATATATATATATATTATATATATATATATATATATATATATATATATATGTATATATTTTTATGTATATATTTATATGTGTATATTTTTATTATATATTTATATGTACATGTATATAAAGCCTATTCATCTTTGAAAGGAGCCTATGAGAGTTCACAGATGGTGCTGACTTGTAATTGGTATTCCTACATTTGGTTATTCCCAATTTGCTGCCTGAATATTTAGCTTCACAATAAAGCAGGATTTTTTGTTATTTAAGAAAATTACCTGTGAGCCATTTCTCACTAAGTTCTGCAATATATCTAAAAAATTCTGCACTTGGTATTCCTACATTTGTTTAATTTTTGTTGTGTAATGATTAATATTCTCTTGGAGACCTGACACTAACAGGATATGTATTACTATGGCTACTGGATCATCCTGTATTGTTGTATTGGCCAATGCATTTTTGGCCAATAAGTTTCCTTTGCTACATTTTTCTTACCAGCCTTGAATGCGGGATTTAAGTTTCATGAAGATTATATCTAGTTCAGCATTTACACACTACAACTACTCCTACTAAACTACTGCATTTTAAGCTATTGTATATACTTTAGAAAGAGTTCAAGATTCCACAGTCCTAAGGACTTTTGGGTAAGTTGATCCCAAATGGTTTTTGTCTCCCTTTAGGGTATGGTGGAGGTAGAGCCAAAGACCTTGTTTAATGAGATGCTCTTCAACTTCGAAAATATTCCAACATGGAATAAAGCAATAACACTAGGTAGAGTTGTACAGGTGAGTGCTATTTGAACACGAGATTTACATTCCTTTTCATAAAAGGTTGTAAGGATGTCTGTGTATACGTACTGATTTGTCAAAAGTTTAATATAACCTTTTTAAAATTAACATTGTAAGGAATCATCTGTATTTGCTGTTAACTTTTGGTTTTGTTTGATTTTATCAGACTATAGATAGTTGCACAGATGTGGTGTACCAGGTTGCTGCAGAAGGACCAGGAGGCGTAGTATCTGCAAGAGATTTTGTGAATGTGCGACACTGGAAGAAAATTGGCGATTGCTGGGTCTCTGCAAATGTCTCTGTTGTTCATAAAGATGAACCACCACAAAAGAGTATAGTACGGTATGTAGATGTTGAACTATGAACTTTATTACAAATTTTGATCCGTTGTTTTAGTATTGTTGACTTTTTCTTGTTTCCTCAGTTAGCCTCATTTTCATATATTCACGACATTGGTTGGGTTTTCAAAGTTGGATAAAGTGATGGCAAGCAAATGTCCACATTGTTTGCCAACATAACAAGAAAAATAGTGCATGTTGCAACTGATGCTAATTATTTTATTTGTTTATACATTTTTACTGGTGTGAAAAAGTCTTAGCAATAGTTTGATATATGACCTTTAAGTATTTTTATTGAGAGTTTACCTTAAAATTATTTGTCCAAGGAAATGTATTTTAGTTCATCAACAAAATCAGTTGTATCTGGGTGCCGTGCTGCCCACTCATGTCCCAAAATCTAGGTATTAAGTTTACTTTGTTAGTGATTCTCCCACGTGTGTAGTTTGTAACCCTGGCTCACATGGAAAACTCGTCTGTTGTGTCATAACTTCTTGTGTTATTATTGTCTGCATTTTACACCCTGTCAGTAGAATGATAATGGGTGAATGGCATAGGAACAGGAATAGAATGTTACCTGTTATCACGGACCAGTTAGTGATAATCCTACTACTTATCATGTCTGCTAACCCTTTTTCTTTCGTTTTTTCTTTCTTTCTTTTTTTAATATTTTGATATAATGATCATAATGTCAGTAGTGGTAATAATAGTATCAATATTATTATTATTGCTGTTCTACCAATTGACTCCTTGTTGGCTGCAGTAGACAGTACATGTACACTCGCTGACCTTAAAAAGTATACCACCTCCGCTGCCCCTGCGATGAGGCATGGGGTGTTTCTGGATATAATTTCCAATTTTTTCTCTGTTGTTGACAGGGGTGAGAATGGACCAGGCTGTTGGGTGTTTAGCCCAGTTGCAGGTGCTCCAAAGAAATGTTCCTTTCAGTGGTTGCTGGACACAGATCTCAAGGGCTGGATCCCTCAATATGTTATTGACCAGGCTCTTACATTCGCCATGACAGACTTCCTGCAATGCTTACGGAATTATGCACCGCATATCTCTGCAAGTAAATGTGAAAGATATAGTGCTAGATAAGTTGTGTAGATATTCAGCACTACTGACCATTATTTTACTCATGATGTCACACGTCTCATCATTGTTAAAGATGTAGGTAAGTCTTGATTATAGGATTAAACATTTGTAGAAATATCATCGCTACTTGTTTATTTGTATATTGTCAGTTTTGTTTAATGTTGTGATATAATTTCCTTTGAAGGGAAGGAATTGTTGATTAACTATACCTCTTAATGAAGGTTGATAGGACATCTCTTGTTGATGAATATGTTAATGTAATTATAATTATAACCAAAAGACAATATCACATTGTTGTGAGATGGTAGTACACAGGGAAAAATGTCCTTGGAATTCCTTTATTCCTAAGCTTCTTGTAGTCAAGGCCTATGGCTTAGAAAAAAAAATCTTTTTTTTTTTACCATAATTAGTATCAGTTGAAAAATAATTGCATGAATTATACAGACAAACACTTTTTATGATTGGTCTCATAAAACCAGATCAGTTAGACTTTCATCTTCATGATGCTCAGTATATTATCTCCAGGGACACAAACATTTTTAGTTGAAGATGAATACTCATAGTTTTTAGATGTAGAAAGCCAACTTTATTTCTTATCATGAGAAAGCTGCTTGTTGGTGAGAAGTCTTTTATTTACCTGGCTGTGAAGCAATGTTGGGAGGGTATTCTGTGACTGATGCTTAGTCTTATCTATATAAGCTGTATCTTTTAAGAGAAAATAAACTGTACAGATTGATAAGTGATCTTGTTCGGTTGTGTTTAACACCATTCAGGGAGGTTTAGGATACCTATCAGAGTGGAGTTATTCAGATGCTAGATATTCAGATATTAAGGCTGTAGTTAGAGGCTTTTAAATATCAAGTGAAAGCCCAGGGATTACCTATAGAGGCATAAACTGGGACAAAAATTTTCAGTGGTGTTGCGTATGACCATGTCTGATTTTTCGTTGCTGTGGAAGTTGTTGATATAGGCAGTAGCTTTTATCATTTGTTTCTGTAATTTCCATACATATTGATATACAAAGTAGTATGTAAATTTGCTGTAAAGTATGATAGACTTTATTTTTCTTATTCTTTTTTTCTCTGTGAAAAGAGATTTTTCATTTTTGATCTGAACATATACATGTATGAATGTGTATTTTGATATCCTTATGACTCTTGAGTTGATAGTTTGCATATGAAATCTTTTAAAGTGCTAAAGTTTATACATTAACCAGTCACTTCTGTTGGATTGATTTAAGTGCCTCTATCTGAGTGATGTATATAAAGCTAAGTATTAGCAGTTGGAGATTGTACAAGTGAACCTGTTGTGCTTAATCTTCTTATATGGAGGATTAAACTGTGGATTCTGTCAGTATTCTTCTGAATTGTAAATAAATTTACGATATATTTACAGGTCTCCCTCTCTTTACACTTTTTATTCAGATATGCTACAGTGGCCCATTTAATGCAACAAGAAAGTAATGCAATAAGGTGTGAAGTCAATGACACAGCTGTTTGCCCTTTTTATGTGTGTGTTTGTTCTTCCAGCATTTAGAGCTCCCTCTCTAGTTGCTATGGAGGAGAGTTATGCAGTATGTAATAATAGTTCGTTATGCATGTGGAAATTTAGAGCGTGTATGGTTCGACCATCAGTACTTCACCATTTACTATTGTACTATTGGTTGTAGGAGTCTAAAAGTGATAAT